CCGATCTCCCGGCGGTTGGCTGAGGGGGGCGCGCGGCTCGGCCGTTGGCTGAGGGGGGGACCGTTGGGGCGGGAGCGGGCGCCCCTCAGAAGGGTCGGGCGGGGGCCGCCGTCCGGGCTCTCCCTCTCTCTCTACCCCCGGCGGCGCCCGCCCGCCTCCTCCGCCTTTCCATCAACACGTGCCGTGGGCGGGAGGGCTGGCGGGGCACCCCGGGAAAAAAAGTTGGCCGGGAGGAACTAGCCGGGCCTGCTTTTCCTCCCCCGGAGTCCCTCCTCGGGCGGGAGCGCAGGCCGCAGCCAGCCGCCGCCTGAGCGAGCTTGTCGCTAGGCTCTTTGCCCCGCTCGGGCACCCGCCCCCAGCCCCGGGACCCAGACGTTATCTTACTCTGCCGCCGAGAAGGGCTTTCCCAGCGAAGAGGGTGCAGGAGCTCCTCTAGGAAAGGCCAGGAATGGCGTGAGCACAAAAAATGGCCAAGTAGGTGTCATGGAGGCACTGCTGGCCAAGAAGAGGGAGTGAGACGTGAGAAGCAGCTAAGGCTGAATATGGCTGCCGGGCGGGAAGCTCCATCCAGATGCTGGTGGAGTTGGCGCCATGGAAAATGGACAAGCTGCCAGGATTCACAGAGTAGGTGGGGTGGAGGATTACCGTAGCAGCTTTGATGTGAATTAAAAAGGGGCCTGTGCGTGAGCTGGGGTGGGCAACGAGCAGGCAGTGGTGGAACAGCACAGGGAAAATTGAGGGCCTCAAACGGGCCTTTTAGCTTTGGGAAAAATAGTTCCAAAAAGACTGATGTTGCAGTGCTGTATGAGGGATAGAATTCTGTTGCAAAGGACAGAATTGTTTGTTTGCTTTTTTCCATTTCCTGTATCTCTAAATGAATAAGCTCAGTTAGTTAGATTGGAATACATTATAACTTCTGCAGGGAGCTGCTTTGCACACTGATAAGGTTGCTGAAGGCCATGATTTGCATTGCATTTCCAAGCTCTTCATCATTAGGACAAATTAGCAAAGTAATAATTTGTCTGTCTGTCTTCAAGTGAGGTCTCCCAGCAGCAGCGCAGAAGGAGCTTTAATGACAGTATGTCATATGAGGAGGAGGAGATTGCACAGTTCCCACCTGGGCTGCTGTTTTCAGTCTTTCACTCAATAAAGGGGCAGCAGTTGTGCTGTTGACGTGGTCTTGCCTTTCACTTACCCTGTCACTTGGTTATTTTGAGTCAATAACTTTGTATGCAAAGCCAACTGCAGGGGGAAATGAAGATAATATGTATCTCATAAACCTACTTGATTTCCCATTGCTGCAGACCAAAACACCCTTTAGGCCTTAAGGACACACCAGCAATTGCTAGTGTCAAGATGCCTGCCCAGATAAACTGTTTCTAGAGAATAACCAAATGGGAAGCAATCTTGCTTATCGGTGCCAAATAGCCACATGTGCATATACTGTGGGAAACCCTGGCTCTCTTATTTTGTTGACGTCTCCAATCTAGCTCCATTTTTGTGTGTTAGTATCAGATAGGACTTGTAAATGTTGTGTACTCCAGAGTGGCCACCTCTGAAGGTAGGATGAGAGCACTGGCTCTGCAATATCATTCATGTGTGTGGTGCCCACGGATCTTTAGGCGAGTGCTTAGCCTGCATACTACCCTATATAGCAAAACAAAAGAGCAAGTATAATTTCAAACCTATCAACTTCACAGACTCCTTTAAAGTGTAGGCAGTTAAAGGCACACCTAGTAAGTGTAGGTGGCCAGGTACTACGGTGATAGGCATTTAAAAATACAGGTCTTGTCTTACTAGACTTTGAGAAAATTTTTTCCAATGACCATCATCCAGAAAAATCTGTCAGTGTCCAAAACAAAGACAGCCTGCAAGAAAGACAAAATCACAGCTTTCATGCCAAGCAATACAGAACTTGTATGCTTATGTTTATAATTTCAAAGGAAAATATGAGTCTGCTGTTCTTCCACTCTGTCTACTATCAGATTATAGCAACAGAATAGACACTCAATATGGAAGAAGAATGCAACATGCGTGTGTGTGCTCCCAACCAGAACCAAAGCTGTTAGAGCTAGCATCTCTTTAAGTAATAATCTGTGTGGTAATACAGTCCTGTGCTTTTCAGATGTTGGATATTGATTTAAATCCAGTATGCATGAATTTAGCAAAAACCACTAGCCTTGAAATTAATCTGATCCCTTGTGTGAAATGGATCGAATACTTTCATCCAATTGCTGGTGAGTAAATTTGCACGTAGCAGAAATTGCCATTTTAGCTAGTACTTCTCAAGGCACTCAGGCACTGAAGATAAAACAAGTGATAATCCCTGTCAGGTCAGAAATAGTGTTGCTGAGGACGAGGTTTGCATTGCCATGGCCACTATGCCTATTCTCCGCATAAACGAGCACTGTGTGAATACTTGTCTCAGTCACAGAATAAAGTCAGTAAAAGCAAACTACATCCTAAAAATATTAGGGCTGCAGGAGACAGAACTGAATCTTGATCTAAAATGATGAATCATAACAAACTTAAAAATATTTAGATTGTGATGAATGTCTGATGAAACATCACATGGGAAGTACTGGTGTCTTTCAAAACAGTGCAGTACTGACAATATGTTTCCAATTTCATACAGGTATAAATCGTCATTTTTGAAACATACAGATTTACAACAGAAGTATGAAAACAATGTGAGTAGACTAAAATTCCTTATTTACAATTGTACAGTGGCCTGTGTGGGAGGAGGGGATTGCTGACCATTCTTGACATGTGAGATGTTCAACCTGATGGTGGAAGAGTTTTTCTTTACTCACTGCCTGAAGAAACCAATTGTATTTTCCTCAACTGAAATTAACTGTGGAAATTCAACCTAAGACTTTTGTCAAGTAAACCACAAAGAGTCAAATCTGAGTTGTTTTGCTTTGTTTACCTTGTGGGATAGGTAGAGATAGATATCTATTTAAACCAGAAGATGAACGCTTTAGGTGATAGGCACTCAGAAAGACAGAGGGTTACCGTGAGCTGGTTAACAGTAACAGACATCTCACCTGGTGAACATTTTAGGAATCTGCAAAAACTCAGACTCATCAGGTTTTGGTACCATGAGGTATTTATTTTTTTAGTTGAGCAACACTCAAATCACAGTACTCTGAAAATAAACATGTTCATTGGACATTTGGCCAGGATGGGATGTAGAAGTCTAACATGAAATATGGAAGAAGCAGTTCAAGACTGACAGTCATGATGAAGAGAGCTGTATTTAAAAAAGTTAAATCATTAATTGGATAGTCTTCCAGCTGCTTTCTTTGTCATTTCCTCTCCAGGAATTTCTTATTAGTTCTTGGAATCGCTTGGGAACTGCAAATCTTAAATATCAAAAGATCTCTTAGAGCAAAGAGGTATATGTAGGGAGAAGGCCATCCATGTAATAGGACTTTGATCTTTGTAGATCCTTCTTCCCTTCAGTGTCTGGAATTCATATGTCTTAAATCTGTGATACAAATATATTTTTGAAAACTGTTTGCAATTAGATGAGTACTTCTCTGTTACTGTTACCAAAATAAACATTGCATGTTACATATTAAAAAAATATTGCCCTTCAGCCAGGGACACAATTTTTTCACTTAAAATGACATGAATTTGGCTTTGTCTTTTTTTTTCAGAATTATTTTATTATTTTACTTCAAATCACATTCTTTTGATTATAAATGTATTGAGTTCTCTGTCACTTAGAAATGTCATGGATATTAAGTGTTTTAAAGGTAAACATAATTAATTCAACAAGACAGAATCAAATATGTGAAGAAAGGTGTTTTTTAAAAATTTCTGCTAGTGAAGCACTGATAGTAAAAAGGCAAAAGTATTCATCAGCCCTGTAAGCCCTGGCCAACCTTCAGTCCAATAAGCGTGATGTGGAACTGAGCACAGGGCAGCACTGGAGAGCACTGGAGAGCCACTCCAAACAGCTCCATGTGCAGAGCGCAGGCACAAGGAAACAGGAAACTCTTCCCACAGCTTAAGCACTTGGTGTGTTTCGGGGTTACTTCTGGGTTTCTGCAGACCAGATTCTTCTTCAGCCTTGTGCAGGTGGACAGGGAGGAAGGAGAACCTAATGGCTATTCCTGTCATATGCCTTAGGCAGCTGCTGCAGGATGTGAACTGATTCCTTATTGAGCTGTGCAGCAGGGAACTCAATTGCATCTTGCAAAGGGCTGTAGTAATGCGACCACTTTGCCTGATATGACAAGTGATGTAGAACACATTTTGCCAGTCAAGAACCAAACTTTCTGTTGCTTTTCCTGTTTCTTCTTCTATGCCTAGTTGAGCTATATGTTTCTGTTTTTATGGATTGCCAGGTACAAAAGCCATATTGCAGTCTTTTCACCAGGCCATAATAAACCTTGAGACAAGTCTCCTTATGAATACAAAGAAACATTTAAAATTATTTTGTTTTTCTTAAAGCCAATGTCAGGTAGTCAGATCTTCATAAGTCTAACACAGAAAAAGGAAATATTTGGAGGCTCAGCAGAGGCTACACCTGGGTGCTTCACTCATATCAGTTTGTTTGGAGAATTAGTAATATGATTTTCCCTAGATGCATGCGAATAAAATCTTGAAAGTCTTCGTTTCCTCTGAGAAGATTAATTATTTAGATTTAGACTCTAGTGCTGATTTTAAAATTTATATTAGGAATTAACTATCGGTCTGCAGTGCTAAATGATCTACAAGGAAGTTTTAATTATTAGCTTCTCTCTGAGAATAGTTATATCTAAGATATGTTTGTGTTCCTCCACCTTTTATTGTAAAAGGTATTTGTTAGTTTCTTTTACGAGTTTGAATATTCCTTCGATCCAAAACCACATTGTATTAGTATTTCTGCTATTGATGCTGAGGCTTCATCCCCTCAAGCTTTTGTAACAAAAAATTTGCTTCTTGATAATGATCCTTTTCAGCAACAGAAAGTGAACCAATGCTGAAAGAGGAAATGTTTTATAAACCTGCTGTTAAACAAGTAGAATTCTTTTCAATACAGCAAATTTCTGCCTTGGTATGTCTGACAGCTTTGTCCTCAAGAGGCGTGGATTTAAGTGGATGTGTTTCTGGCAGCTGTAGTGGGTAGTGTAGAGATCTACAAAGATGGACATTTATGAGACTGAAAATGCTATGTTCTTTCAAGCTTGTTAGAATGAAACAAATGTGAATCCTTATACAAAACAAATTAACCAATTAATTTCCAATAATTAAATCCTTAGTTTTTTCTCAGTCTAAACATACTTTTAACCACGAACGTGTAGCTGTTAAATAAGAACAAATGCAGCAAAATACTGTCATTCTCTTTTTTTTCATATTCTAGCAAAACCAAAATAATAAATGTCTACTAAATGAATAATAAGAAAAGGATATGCTTGTGTATCAGTCACAGCAGTCAGCTAACATGTCTGAAAATAGGTAATGAAGCTAAAAGCATAGCAATAAAGCTTTCTCCCTTAGTGTGTGAGATACTTGAATACCTACTAGAACTGAAACTTGAACAAATTAAAGAAACACATAGAACTGAAAGCAAATCCTGACAAATAGTCTATAACTTCCTTTGCTTCCAATGAGAAATTGGCCTGTGTCTGCAGATCTCCGGATTTGGCAGCTATACATAATTCAGTTTAAACTCCCACTGGCATCAGCAAAAAATTACCTGATTAGGGATGCAGGATTGGATCTAAGATAATAGCATATTAAAATTCCACTGTAAATTCAAAAGCTACTAATAGAAATTAAATCCCCCAAAATATCAAATGTTCAAAGCAGTTGAATAGTTTTCAGTGTACATACTCAAAATGCTAAACAATAGTAGCTATTGCATGTGTGACCATCAGGAAATACAGCTGTGCTTCTTTGTGTTAGAATTAATTACTTCCGTTGTATATAAAATTGAAAGTATTGGTACTCTGGGGCGGAAAAAGGATATCCTGATACACTGCTCCTATTTCCTTACTGAAGCCTATTACTGAATGTTTCACCATTAATTCAGTTACAATGAATTATCCTGCGATGAATAAAGGAAGGGTAGCTTGGGTGGTTAATTGCTATGCTAAAAGCTACTTTTTCTTTGCATTTTCACTCTCCTACATGTTTATCTCATTTTACTCCTTTCACATGTGCCCTGTTTGATAGCAATTGTTCACTTTTAAGCAGTTGCACGTAATAATGAATAAACATTCACTTAATTATCCTTTGACTTAAAGATTGTTGTATTAATTTGTTTGTGTGTTATGAGATCAGAGAAAGCAGAAAACTTTGTTGCTGCCCTTTAAAGGAATGAACAAAATCTTCCCAGCTTAAGTATTTGTGGCCAGGTTCTCTGAAGCTGGCATACAGAGATGTAATTTATACCTTTCCGTGCCAGTGAATTTCCCTAAACTGGAAAGTGATGAGGCTTCTTACCCAGAGTTAGGGAGGAGTAGTAACAGCCCAGCATTTCTCTGTTATGCATTCTTTATTTTTTTTGGTGAGACTCACATAGCAGCAAAAACTGGTTGAGTTTCTTCTAAATAGTGCAAATCTGGACCTTAAGGATATATACTGTCCCCAGCTTTTAATACCTACTTTCTAGTAACACTGACTCTTTCCTTTTAGAGAACTACTGAACAGAGAGCAACTTAGGAAATCAATGAAGCCTCCAACAACCACTAGCCAGGTAAGTGTATAAAAATTGGATAATATGTTACGTATTTGCTACTAAGAATTTAATCTCTTGGGATACTCTTCTTAACCTCAAAGTCCCTGGTTGTGTGCATAGGTGTAATTACCACCAGTAGATTGTTTCCAATCCATTATGAGTAACACAAAGCTAAGTAAGAGACATGGGGGAAATGTGGAATACTTAAGTGTGAGCACAGATAAATTCTGCCAAATGATCTTTGCAAGTTTGAATTCAGTCTAGTTGGTGTCACATCGAAGTAACAGAAGAATGGCAACTCAGAAAAGCTGCTATTCCAGAAACTGGTTTACATAATACAGATGGCTGACAATCATCATCTGCATAAAATACAGCCCTATTCTCCTTTTGCTGCAGCAGCTGGCACTGGGAATAGGCTCAAAGGCTAAGTATGCTCTGTCATTATTTCATAACAACACAGTTTAGATTCAGTTATGCTAAATTTGATGTGATAGCTAGAACCTGAATCTCTCTGGCTAGCACTATCACATTTCTTGCAAGGATTTTTTGGCCAGAAGTATGTGCAGTGTAGCATAGATGCTGTGTAGCATACATGCAGTAAAGCAGAAACTTCCAATTAGTGTCATATATATTGTGTGTGCACAATAAATCTCAGTAAAGCTGGTATTTCCAGGATGCAGTAGGCTGGCTGGATACACTCACACTATCAGCACAGCACATTATATTACTTTCTACCTCACATTGTTACACAGCTTACAAGCATGTGTAACAGTAACTTTGGTCAGACTTCCACATGTGCAGACATCATAGGAAATTTATGATGTCTCAGAATCAGTACAGGAAAAAGGTTCCAGGAAGAAAAAGAAAATGGCTCAGGGAACATACAGGCCTAGCAGTGGCATTGGGTACTGCAGAAGAACATTTGGTTGTGAAGGAATATATTTGGTCTTTGTTTATAATGCATAAATATAAATTCCTGAATTCATGTTTTTTAGATAAAGCCTGATTTTGGCAAGTGTGCCCTTCTTTCTGCTCCCACATTTCCTATGCTATCAGGAGCCTAGAGATGTTACCTCATAAAGCACATACACCAAACTGATAACAAAAACTTGGTCTCTACATGCAATCAGTCTAATGCATGATTATCATGTTATGTATAGTAAAGTTATGTATATTATGTAAAGTTATGTATATTACAACAATTTAGGCTCAAATACTGCAGGTATGAAACACATCTACTTAAAGGAAATCAGAGCATTGGTACTGAGTATTTTAATACACATACATGTGCCATACATGCATAAGGAATGCTTGCATTTATCGACATTAAGATTTCTTTAAATCTAACTAAACCTTTATCCCAGCATTATGTTCCAGTCTACATACCATTAGATTTTAAAAGAATTAAAATTCTGTAAATCATTCTTTTGTTCTGAAATGAGATCCTTAATTATGGCTATAGATACTTATTAAGGTTCCCAAGAACCCAAAACATCCTCTTAAATGCACCAGAAGAATAAAACATTCTAGATGAACAGGAAGTTTCCTAGCTTGCTTGTAGCAAGCAGTATTCATTCCACAAGCACTGGAAGAACCATCACATTTATTCAATTCAAAGTTGGTTTTTTATCTATAACTTCTAATTAAAAGAAAAAGATATCATTAATTACATTTCAGAAAGACCTCAACTCTTTCTCTGCAACACTACACATAGTAAAACCAAGTGGAAGCAGAAGAATTTCCATAACATCTTCATCATTAATGAAAATAATCGGAATTCTGAAGTAGTAAGATTAGAAAATACTTTTGTAGTTCAGGTAGATTTATTAATGATACATTATACATACCAATTATTATCTAACAGTTAAAATCTAGCAACTTTTAAAGAAAAAACTTTTTGTTCCGAAGTTTAGCTTTGTTAAAAAAAAAAAAAAAAATGTTCTGCTTGTCCTTCTTACATAGAAAAGTCTTGTGACTCAGTCTGACAGTCCTTATTAGTACAACGCACATTTGTTACTGTTTTCTTTTGATGTAATCTTCCTAAGAGGAGGAGTAACTGTTTTTAACAGCTATCTAAGGGCATGTTTTATAGGCATACAGCACAGAATTTGTGCCTGAATATAATCTGAATCTCATCCTTAACGCTCTGATTTGGCTGGGAGAACAAAGCATTTCATTGTGTATTCAATAATGGTTTCAGCAATCTCATTCACACATTCCTTCCTTTCTTAATCAACAGAAACTGGCTGAATTTAAGATTCAGGATTGGGGAGGGGTGGGGGAAGGAACAATGCCAAAGCCTATAGTTTTGAAATCACCATTTTCTTAAGAGCAAATCATAGTCTCTTTTCTAAGAAGAATCTCTTAATTCACCACTCGTCAGGCTATTTTGCACCATGCCCTTTTGTTATGACCTTTGCTCTGTTCGTTTTTTGCACCCTAATAGCTGGCACAGTGCTATGCTTGTGCCTCTGTTGCTTCTACTTCCAACAGCTGAACTCTCCAGAGATCACAGTGCACAGTTTAGGAACCACTGTCTTGTGCATAGGTTAAAGGCCAGAACAGACAGTCTGCACAACAGCAATTTTGAACTGTCAGAAAATGTCATATGTTCTGTTCATTCTTTTGAATTGCGTTTTCCCTTATTGCACATTGTAAACAGAAATTAGGGCTGTAAAATAAAATCAAAGTGCACAAAGTTGTGATTCCTGATGCTGTACTTTGTAATGCCAGCTAAAGCCAAGCCTGTCAATTTATCTTAACTTCTTAATTAGGTTTAATATAATTAGTTGTATCTTTAAAAATCCTGCATTCCTGAGGGGGGTGGATTAGGAATGCACAAAATGGCTGTTTTCATAAGCCACACTGTTATATGAAGATATCCTTTCATTTGGAAGTATTTCTTGGCACTAGAGTTCAATGAGAATGTTTAAAAAATTTTTAATATTATTTAAAGTCACTTCTACTAAGAAATGGAAGAACACCCACCTGAATTTATGCAATCAAACTTTGTTCTCAGATGCATCGATGTAACCGAAGACAGAATTTACTCATTCCTTATAAAGTTACTATAAACAGTATTTGTTGACACAATAAGGTCTGTGACTATACAAGTCTTGCTAAGTTGCAACATGTACTGTTAGTATACGTCTTTTAAGCATACTAACATTTGTTTGTTTAAAACAACGTTATTTGGTTAATAAAACATTCAAGATTGATATACAATAAAGTGGAAACCAATGCTTTTAATTTTTATTTTCAGGTCTGAAGTATAGAGTACAAGCTTGTGTATGCTTTCTCATCAGTATTGCATGGCTGAAGCTGTCAGCTGTTCACATGCCATATTAATAAATATGCCCAAATCATAAAGCATTAACTGTATTTGTACATTGCTTTTATTACTAGACTGTTTAACTCATGTTGGCACAGATAATCCATGCAAGGTAGTTACTCACACCTCATAAACCACACTACATTCTGTTTCTGAAAGAACTAGGAACTTAGGAAAAAATATATATCTAAAAGCAAGAGCACTTGTGGCATCAAGTCAACATGTCAATATGTTATAAAACCTAGACTTCTAATATGATCACTGCAGGCAAGAAATCACTCAGTTTCAAATTCTAATGTTTATAAATACTAAACAAATTAATATTTGCTACCAGGAGACGAATATTGCAAACAAATATTAGCGTGCCCAGCATTAGACACTAATGAGTGTGTTCAGTTCTGTGGACATTGACATTATTAAACATAAATACGAATAATCTCTAACAAAACATTTCACCCAAAGTACTGACCACCGAAGGACCAAAATAGAATATTTTTCCTGTTTTTGAATTGATTTTAGAAATGTGTAAATCCAATATAGTAAAAACTAACTTTGAAAAAAAGAAGTCATAACAGTGGGTTTTTTTCCAGATAATAAAAGCAGTCTTCTTTGGAAACATTTTATTTACTCTGTTCTGCAAAAAGAACAGAAAAAGTGAAAAAGAAACAAGATCATTTCTGAAGCCTTTGAAAAATTATTGAATAATTAGATATTGAAGTTATTAATTAGATAAAGGACTAGTCTTTTTATTTGATCATTCAGAGGTGCAGTATCTTTGTTTTATTATGTAAAACCCCACGTTAATTAGAATGAAAAGAAATATTTAGAGGAACTTAGGATTTGTCCCAGGCATCTATTACAAGACATAAAACATAAACAAGTACACATTATTCATCTTGCATATTTTTGTACAGCGTTTATGTTCAGTGATAGTTGAAAGGCCCTATTCTGAATTATACATATATATCTATGCATCTTTCCCCCTTCCATATCACAAAGGTGACATGTGGCAGAAGAGTATCAGCAGTTATGTGGTATTCTACCCCTGTGAATGTTAAAATACTACATTATTATTCACAAATTTCTGGTTCAGATATGTGCAAAAATTATATCTTAATATAGATATCAAGGGCGGGTAAGTGGATTCCCTATTTTTGGACCACATTATGAAGCAGCACAAGTCAAAACAGGAAATTTATTACATGATAATCCTCAGGGTATCTCTGATCTTCATTCAGAGATATCACTGTACCTCATATAGCCATATGTAAACTAGCTTCAATCTCACTTGCTCAGACACCAGCTGGAGTCAGGGCATGTGTTACAGTGCAGGTTATCTGTCCAAGGAAATTTCCAAGACTCTCTCAGGTTGGTACGGCTCCCAGTGAAGTCTGTGCTGCTGCATGTTCACTGTTGCCGCCCCACAAGCTAGCTCAGCTATGCTCACATACATTCCATTCACCTTTCTGCAGAACTGACTTCAAATTTACTAGATTGGATCCTGTGTACCCTTTGCTCACCCCTTCTATTCAAATTATCCCTCTGACTATTGTGAGCTACTTGCACCCTAATTTCTTGCTTCAAGCCCTTTCCCTGACTGTAGTGAGTCATCCTGGCTATTCCCCCCCTTCCTCCCCCTGCCCCACCCCAACTATCTAACATATCAACTTAGGGAAACTGGCCCTAGGTAACTAGCTATTACCCCTCCTCCAACCCCAGCTTCAGAAAGGGTTTCCCATTTCCTCAATGCCTCATCTTTTCACACTCAACCAGAGGCCCCCAGAGCCCCTACATTTGGCTGCCACTGGTGCTCTCCCTTCTCTGATCCAGGCCTCCTTCCCCTTGTCCGTCCCAGCAACTCACAGGCTGACCTGGGCCGCTGCAGCTGGCAATCTGGGCTCCCCTGTGAATGTGAAGAAGAGACAGCCCCAGCCATGCTGCCTACCACCATCTCCTCACAGCCTGTACCCCTGCCTTCCATCTCTGGCCATTTAAAATGCTTTATTCATCACGCTGCCAGGGAAGAGGGAGCTTTTAGGGACACTGAGGGGGAAGGTGGAAAGTGAGACACACACATATATACACATATGCAGAGTAGAGGTGAAAGACCTCATGACATTCTCCTGAGGCATCACAAGCCCTAGCATTTTGTGTCCTCCCAAGGAGTCTGACTCCTTGATTTGACGTTGACAGTAAGAGACCAGTCCCAGTCAGTGGGTAGCACAGAAATCTGCCTAAAGAATATCTTCAATGCAGTCTTAGTACATAATACATTGATATGAATTCTCTTAAATAACAGAGAATAATGAACACCATTTTGTTGAATGACATTCAAAAATTAAAAGGAAATCTAGAATTGTCTCACTGTTATGAATGAAGTCAAATATGAGTGAAAAAATATTTAACCTCCATGATTACAATTTTTTCCTCTAGAGAATAATATGAGCCAGATCTTTGGATTTTGTAATCAATGGAACCATATTCACACCAGCCCAGCACTGACTGAAAACAGAAAATTTGTTTGCTATAGAAAAAAAAGGCTTTGCATATAATGTACTAGTGTTTTAGAATAATTCATGCATACAAAAGTCTGACCCTGTAGAACTCAGATCAGATCACTGCTAAGATCAGCAAGAACTAAGGTACCTAACTGAATAAATACAGGTCATACCTGTCAAAACTGCCAAAGGCAGTTCAGGTTGTTATTTTTGTCCAAGATGCGGACTGCCTGCAGCTAACTTAACTCTCATTTCAGAACTCCAAATTACTTTTATTCCTCCCCCAAGCTTTGGGTAGTTTTTAATCTCTGAAAAGACACATCAATTTTCTACCCATAGGAGGAAAAAGGCAGACAATGCTATGTAAGGTCTTTTTACCTAAAACACAAGGTAAAATAGGGTGCAGATGGCACCAGAATGTGGCCCACAGAATGCATCCGCAGCCTCAGAAATACTAATTCAAAACTGTCTGTACTGCATGCTGTCAACACACAGATCATAATTCTCGCTTAAACAAATTAATAAAACTTGAATAGTGATCAGACTTTCCATTTTAACTCTATTTTGTATCAGACAGAACTGCTGTCACCAATACAAAAGTCATTGATATTTAAAATTAAAAATTCAAAAGTATTATCAGTACTGCAAGTATTGCTGTTTTGAAAAAAAAAAAACAAACACCCAACATTTTACAAATAACTGTTTGAACAACTTGAAAGTTGTTCTTAAAATATTAAAAAAGATGACTGCATGGTTATCCTAATTGTCAGAGCCTATCAACTGTTTTACAATGGCAAATACTACTACAGTTCAGGATGTGTTGCATTTAAACTAACAAAAGTAATAAATATGTGCCTGTGGTGTTATGCTGCCTTATGAATTTTTAAATTGATGTTAATTTACTATAGATTAAAAAAAAAGATGCTCTTTTCCTAACTATGTGGGATAAAGTAGGGAACTTTTGCAAGCTATCTCCCACTTCCTAGCTGTGCTAGATGATGTGTGTCTTCTGTGTTCATCAATGTGAAGATCCAAATGTAGATTCCTACCTCCCACTGGTATCAATGAGAATTAGAAACCAAAGCGCTTTGAGTATTTTTTTGTTCCTTATGAATTTTTAAATTGATGTTAATTTACTATAGATTAAAAAAAAAGATGCTCTTTTCCTAACTATGTGGGATAAAGTAGGGAACTTTTGCAAGCTATCTCCCACTTCCTAGCTGTGCTAGATGATGTGTGTCTTCTGTGTTCATCAATGTGAAGATCCAAATGTAGATTCCTACCTCCCACTGGTATCAATGAGAATTAGAAACCAAAGCGCTTTGAGTATTTTTTTGTTCCATACGAGGAAAGGAAAACCGGTTTCAAATTAAAAGCTGGCCTTTCCAGCCAGCTCTGTTCCATTCAATTTAAGAGCAATTTGGAGAAAGCCAGTTGTCCTTTTCCATTATAATTTGAAAGTGAACTAATCTACTGTGCACATATAAACCAAGTGCACTAGCAAGGTTGACCCAATGTGCTTTTCTCAATCTTACTGGGCTATGGAAGGCATTATTCTGTTTCCACTTTATTTTCAAACCAAGTTACAGATTGTCTCCTAGGCTTCCCAGCTACATATGGATTCAAGGCAGACTTCTTACTTGGAAAGAATCTAAAATGTTTGATGCTATGAGGTAGCACCACAATATAATGGAATAGCACTCACTTTTCATAGAAGAAACCCTAATCTATTTATTTCCCTTAGGAAACGCTAATCTATTTATTTCCCTTTGAAAGCTATGGCCTTTCGTTCTACAGATTATTGTACATGTGGCACTTGCTCATTCTTGTTATGAAAGAAAATGACTTATTACAAAAGGACTTTTCCAGTTGTTTTTAAACACTAGTGTGTGGTCTAAGCAGTAAAACTGCTGAGGGTAGTTAATTTGAAATTGTATTTGCGCATTACTTTTTATATTACAGTTTTTACTTAATTTCAATATTTTCCCCAACTGTTGCTCTAAAAATGGACTAGTTCATTTGGTAAGTTTTTGTATGAACTTTGCAAAAGCATGTTCTGCATTTAAGAATGAGGTTAAACTTAAACTTCAGAAGTATCAACTTTCTAGCTTTTACCAGGAGAAATGCTAGCCATGTTTATCAACTTTATAATTGCCCAGTTATTCATCTGTTTTTCCCTAGCGTTACTGACTATCAACTCTTCTTTTAAATATTGATGGCATGGGCATGCTTCTTGCATAGTGGCTTATCCTTCTTGGAGTAGAACGGCTGACCTTCCAAATTCACATGGCATACCTAGAATTAATAATAAATACAATCAGGAATCATTTAAAAAAAAAAGAGAGAGAGAGAAAGACATGATTATCAATTTAAACTGTAGCCCTCTTCTGCCCACACATTTCTTTGGCAGAAGCACATCTGATTTCCTGGATCAAAGTGCATTTCCTACTTCACGTTGAGGTTAGGCTCTGGCTTGCATCAGGTCTCCTCTAGTTCACTATTTGTAGTTCACTAGTTTCTATTATAATGAAGTCAGGGTACCTGATCCCCTAGGAAGCTTCGGCATGTCCCAGCAGTGCTTGTGGAGACTATCTAAGGATAGTGGCACACACAAGCACATGCAGCTAGCTCAGACTTTATCCTGTCACATATGATTTTATAAAAGTTCTGGTTTAGGTGCCATGGCCCCAGGATACTTTTAGATACTCGTTCCTATTATTACTTTGTCTTGGTACAAGTGCTTATTTGATTGAGTCATTCAGACAGCCGATATCATTGAAAATTAATTACTTATTCTTACCAGGTTATTCTTCAACCCGTAAGAGGGTTGTCTGGCTGGCTGCATAAGTGCCAATGTTGACGTAACAAAGCATGTAGGAGCTCATGGCCAAGGCAGGGAAGGATGCATGTAGGAGCTCATGGCCAAGGCAGGGAAGCCCAAGTTTAGATCAGCTTAAACTGCCCTGAAATTCTACAGATACCTACACAGGGTAGCACCACCACTTGCAAGGTCACAGTTGACTAGAACCGCTTAAGGAAGTCAACACATCGGAATCTAGGAAAAACAATAACTGTTGTCCCTAATGCTTATAGCAGGCTTAAGACCAGTGAGTGATAACATCAGTGATATGCTACTGCAAGCGGGAGGAAAATCACGTGAAAGGATATTCAGATAGCATATTAGACATTGAGTCGTGTGTTTATTTGCCTTTGACTTAACCCACTGAAAGAAAGTTAGCTCCTAACAAAAAATGCTGTGAGAACTGCATTAACAAAACTAGCACCTCCACAGAAAATTGGGTTGCTAATTTAAATAAATACATAAGAATACAGTTAAATGAACAAGCAAAAAAGAACATGAAATATTCAGAGAAAGTATCTTTTATAAGGCACTAATAGCTGTTAGTTTGTGAAGGAAACTCGCCGTCTTAGTATTCCTTTCTGTTAGAGTTTCAAAAAGACTTCAATTTTCACAGGGTATTTGTGTGTCACTCGCTTCCGTGTACCCTTGAAAGACCAGTAGCTAGTTTAGCTTTAGATATTTATAAACATTTCTATACTTCATGCTCTTCAACCTAAATTTTAGAGTTAACAAACATTAGAAATTGTCACTGTCATTTTTGGTGTGGCAAACATACTATTTTTAGCTAATTAGAGGTTCTAGATATTATTACCTTAGGAATAATATGTTGTAGAGCAACACAGCTGTATTAGAACCATATGAATAGTACTCTTTGTCATATGGATTTTACTACTTTGTGTGCAGAGTGTGGGAATATGGCCACAGTATATAGCTGTATACACACCACAGATTGATGAGTTTGACCAACTTCTATGCTAATTACTATTCATTCTCTCTAAACAGACTCCTTTTTGCAAGTTTCAACAAGCATTCTGCATGGAAATGCAAACGGCACCGCTTTGTAAGTAAGATTATGGCTATACTGTTCAGTACGGTGTTAATTTATTTTAAATCCTGCTTTATCTTTATTTGGTAAACATTGGAAAGAATAACAGCAATAGTGATATGTATTACTGTATGTACTCTAAAACTGAATGCTTTATTAGAAAGCACTCACTTGTGATGGTTCAAATTTAATAATTCTAGTGAAATTCAATCCCTCTGCATCCTTAAGCACATGTTAGTCATTCCTGCTTTCAGGTTTTCTGATGCTACTTCACAATTTATGAGCATAAAGAAAGGAGATAGTATTTGGTATAGAACCTACAGCACAAATGAAGCAGGTATCATGCCAAGTATGTCCAAGAGCTTCAATGAATTTATCTCCAGCTTCAACAGGATAATCACAGCCATGGCATTTTGTGCTGAACAAAGCAATATAATCTAAAATAAAACAAAAAGCAAACTTAGAACAAACTCTTAACATAATTATGTTAAAACCAAGAGAAATAGAAAGTTTCCTGAAGGTGAATTTTTGGATTGTTTTTGCTGTTTCCTACTACATTCACTGAAACACTCATACTGAAATTTGTTTATTGTCTTTCCATTATTTGAATACAAACTCCTGCAAAACCCCACAGCAGCACAACAGTTGTCATTACAAACACAGAAAACAAACAAAAAAATTCATGAAATTTGAACTTTTGTTTCTCACATTAGTTTTAAATTAGCTTTAATGTGTGTAGAAGCTATTCATAAGGACAAATATGGCCATAAAAAACACAATCTAATGGCCAGTGAGTGTTACCTTAAGGGTGGATTTTAAAACATCATTTAAGTTTCCGTGACTGGATTTATGTTCTGTCTGCATTAAGAGCGAATATTATGGAAACCCCATACTGGCTGGTTAATACATCTTTACTTTGATTATCAAGTGCAATTTAGAAAGACTTGACATTGGAAAAGATTAGCAGAAATTCTGAAGTTATATGGAATTTGTGTGAGTCATTAGAGGTTATGGCAAAACTTCCAATTTTAAAAGGTAGGTGCCAAGTCAGTCATGCTTTATGGTTTTCATTCTTCACTAAGAAGATTCTTAGTGATTTTTACCCTGATTTTTTATTTTTAAAATTTGATTTGTGGAACCATAAGGAAGAAATCTCCAGAGAAAAGTAGACCAGAAGCTCATTAAATGGACAAGGCGAGTCTTACAGAGGGACTACCACTTAAACCTTAACCTGCCTCCTGACCATGTCAGGCAACTCATTTGCATAGCAACCACCATTTATTAAACCATATTACGCTTTCCATATTTTGGGAAAAACTGGCCGTTTCCTTTCTTAGTTGGCAAGAAGCAGTTCATTCATTGCAGCACTCAGAAAACAAAATCTGCACTACCATGTGTTGCACATCTGAGCTGAGCTATTTTTTCATATATGTTGGTTGATCAGTTTTAGGGTGAGGTAGCAGTATGAGAGGTGATAATTCAAGCAACTTAGTAGAGATAATGTGGGCGGCCACCCACACATACTGTATAAAAGCCCTACCAGAAACCTAGAAGAAGAATTTTTCACTCCATAACATGTAGATTTCTAGTGAGCAGAATCTGCCAGGGAAGGGAAGAGGGTGGGCAAAAAATGTCTAGGGAGAGAAATGGCAGGTAAGTATTGTAATACATAAGGGAGAGAAATGAGGTAAAGGCATTCTGGGACACAGAGGAAGAGACCAGCTCTCTGCTAGTCAATCATATAAAGTGGAGAAAAATACAGAGAGGGAAACACTTGTATATGCAGAGAGTGGAAACAAAATCCATGCTGGATGGGTAACTGATTTAATTTTGTTCATCAGCTGATTTATTCTTGCTTTGCTTCCATACAATAGGAAGCACACAATTACTGAGCAGAACTGTCCGGTTCGCTGTACCTTTCTCACAATAAGGTTCCCCATCCTCCATGTGAAAGAGGCTATTCCCAAACGGCATCTTACAAGCAGCACAGACAAAGCAACTTGTGTGCCAAGTCTGTCTTAGGGCGTGCATCACTTCCTGCAAAACAAACAAACAAACAAAAATCTCCAGCAGAATAGCATGCCCTGCAACTACCTACTGGAGAAAAATACAAGGCAGAGATGCTCTATATTTTTCCTTTCTGTATCAGCCAATTCCCCTCCTCAAAAGAAAGAAACATGACAGAAATTGGAGACCTTTGGAAAGAAAGAGGAAATAGGACTGCAAACTTTCTAGAACAATACATTTGCCAAAATGAAACAAAGTTCAGCCAGCTGTTTGCATCAACATGCCCAGTCGCTGTTGCAGGATAGATTCTGCACAAAGATTCTGATTATTTTCTCCTTTGTTTTCACATGACTAGTATGAACTCTTCAATGCAAGAGTATAAAGAGTAATGAATTCAATGAAGAGTAATTTTCTAAAACCAAGAAATGCATGCAGTTGATAAGCAATTTAAGTCTGATGTTTCAAAATAATTTAGATTATGTACTAATTTCTCTAAGCTTCTCACAAGAATACGAACTAATGTGAAAATCTAAAAGAAATAAAATAGGTTTTTTCAATTTTAACTTTTGCTATTAGCAAAAATGAGTGTGTGTGTCAGTTCCTAGGCCACGTGTTCATCACAAAAACCCCACATTCTATGCAACTGATGTTCTCTTGAGCTGAGTATCCAGATTGTATCAGCCTTTTCTTCTATCCAGTATGAAGCAATCTCTATTACTGCTTCATTCTTATCTTGTCATACAGAAGTCCTCCAAGTTTAAAAGCTGCTGTGCTGGACTCTGATGCTAATTTGTCATTCTTACTTGTGCCCAAGACAATGTTCGATAGTGTATCTCTGTCAAACAGTCCAGATTTCAAAGGCCCAGCTGCGTAACTGGTGTAAATTAATTTAACTTTGTTAGCTTCAGTGAAACAGCAGTGATTTACACCAGCTGACAATCCAGATCCTATTTTATGTTGCTTCCAATTGTATATGTAGACTCTGATTCTCTTTTAAAGATTATTTTTAATCTCCATTGACTATGACAAAAGGGATTTAAGTCCTCTTTCATCCTTTCAATGCAGTGAATGGACAAAATAGTCTAATTTATGTTTGCCATATATCTCATTAGAGAATCGCTATTTGAGATTCATTAACTTCTGTTACTGTTTGCAAAACAACTATCACTGATAAATAGGCTTGGATTCATTTATGAACCTCACTGAGCTAAGAAGCAAGAAACAGATTGAGAAATCTTATTAATATAAATAGAGGCAGCTGGCATCTTTGCTATTTTCCTGATGAAAATCCATAATGGGGAACTGCTATGTGCCAGCATTAATTAGGTAAGTTAAGTCAGTACTCTGCTGTAAAATTATTCCTATTGCTGCAGTAACAAACAAGACTTGGTTGGAGCCAGAGCTTCACCATAGATTTCTGATGCTGCCATCCCTAATTGGCAATTGCAGAGAAAAGCATCTAGTCTGTCAATGCCATCATTTAGACAGAGGTCTAAAGGTGACAGCTAAGCAGCAAAAAACCAGTGTGGTACTCTTTGCTTCCTCATTGAAGAGAATCATGTCATATATTCACTGCAACTACACTGCTAGAATTATCTTACGGTATTCCAACCTCACATGAGTATATTAAGACATAAGTGCCATCTTTTTTTGCCTTTCTGGAATTCAGATCTTTGTATTTATTCTGTATTTTCGTAACTATAAGAAGTCAGCAGAATTCCTCTTGGCAGCTGTGTTGCCAGCTACCAGTGAGGTGCACAGCAATGGCAGTGGGCCTCTTCCAAAATCACCGACTTCTCCACTGAAAATTAGACTAAGTCCTGTATAAGAAAAAAAACCAAACCCAGTTCAAGTGTTTTACTATAAATATACGGAAAAAGTAACATAGTGTATATCAGATAGCAAAGAACGATCCAGAAAGTGTTACTTGTTTTACACTCAGTGAGATGGTAATTGGATTAAATATTCTATGAGTTGAATAAGGTACAGAAACATCAAAGATTTCAGATAGATTAAAAATATTGTCAAATAATGTATTTCTTATTCTGAAATAATCAACAGGCTGGGAAATTAGTATTTAAAAGCAGGAAATAATTAAATATCTACATTCATTGCTTAGAGTCTAAACTACTCCAGTGAATCAGACAGTTGGAGAAAGGGTTAAACTTGTTCTCTTACCCCCATGATCTTAGTGTGGCATCTGGCACAGGTTGGTGCGAAGAACTGTTCGTAACAGCGCTCACAGTACACACTATTCTGCTCTTCCACAAAGCACATATCAGCCAAGGATGTCTTGCAGTAAGCACAATTGAATTCTTCTGGGTGCCAAGAGCGACCCATGGCTACCAGGAAAGGACCCCTGTAAACAATCGTAATTTTCTTATTTGTATTGCAAAAATATGGAATGGACCCTGAATACAAACCCACTTTGTTAGATACCACATATACGTATAACAAGCATTCTACTTCAACCATGAAGGTGCATATTAAAGTAAGATCCAGAAGCCTGACAGAAATAGTCCTTTTCAAGCTAATTTTTCAAACACTTGTGACAATTGGTTAAAATATTTCATTATTGTGTAGTCATATACATTGGATTTACAGCCAACTGTTGGAAAAATCATCAATTGTTTTCATACCTACATAGCTCTAGGTGGTCTTTATAAACAGCTGCAAAGACAACAGGAAAAGGCTAAGACTTGTAACACAGAAGATAATGCTGCTATTTGAAAGCATGAAAAAGCAGGCAAATTTCCAAACCTGCACACTCACACCTCACAATAGCTCCTAAAGTCTCCTGCCTTCTTTTCATCTGAGAGAGCACTGCATGCGGCATGTTCTAGAAATGTCAGACTATCAGATGACAACTTGCTGTTTGATTATATGGAAGACACATTAAATTAGTTTTGGTGATTTACTCTTGATTGTAATTAGATATAGTGATTATTACTGGAGTCTTTTAGTTTCAGAATATACAAAGGGCAATAATCAGCAGTTCCACATCACCAAACTAGCTCCTTTTAGTGGAGGAGACTGTCATTAAACATGGATTACTTAAAAATTGGTTAGCCGTCCACAGGGTAACAATGGGCACCGGTCCAGCAGAATGAATTGGGAGAGAAGGGAGAGACATGCTATGAATCACTGGTAATAGAGTGTAGGCATTATCTTTCTCCAGACACAAAAGCAACAATTACATTTGGCTGTTATTCTAAAATGATGTCTCGTTCCTTTTCTCTCCATAATCCTCCCCTCACCCCCCAATTCTCCCGATGAAGTTGTACATACCTCCTTCAAGGGGTACCTTAGGACCAGAAACTTGTTTAAAAAACAAACAGTGATTTGCCACAGCATCCAAGAAACAAACAATTAGCATGTATAACTTTGCAGTGATAAAAAGTGAACCACACAGTAGCAAAATGAGCTCTGGAAATGTTAAATTAATGAAACAGACAACAGACATCCCTGCTGGGTAATTTAACTGAGTCTTCGGCTCTGGTACTGTATATTAATGTACAATAACCAGCCTCTTGGACATTTTTTTTCTGCTTCATCCCTCTTCAAAACCTCATGACCTTACCGAATTATGCTGTTACAGTGCCCACAGAGAGGAGTTCGGCTGCTGGCTGGAAAACGCTCAGCCCTCTGAACTGTTCCCCGGGCTAGTGCAGGAGCCTGGGAAGAAGTTGGAACTGGAGATGGGTAAGCGGGAGTTGAGGCAGGAGATGGTACTGGAGCACCCCTTGGTAGGATGTGCTTTGTGACAGTGGTGGTGGTTTTTCCAGGTGCAAATTTCTGGGAAAAGGAGTCATCTGTTACCCAGGGAGGGCGACTTGCAGGCTCATCGTTGGCAGGGGTGTAGGAATGAACTGGTGCTGGTGCTGTTTTAAGTATCCCAAAAGAAACCAAGAAGTGTTTTAAAGTCTTTTCTTCTGATGGCAATACAGCAACACTTACCAAAGGGTACTCCAAGACACACAAAAAATAAAAGCTTCAGATGACACTTAATTATGGTCTGTCCCATTATTGCTCATTAATTCTGGACTGAAGCCAAGGATATCAGCACAATCACGGACTTTTAATCCACATGCATTACAGAAGTCATTGCCTACTGGCTTTTACAGATTTTATGGAGACCATTTTCAAGGGCATCTCTTCATTTTCTAATAGAAATGGATATGACAATTCTGTGATTATTTCAAAAACTGCTACATATTCTGTTTAAGGTCAAAAATAGAAAGGCCAGATTAATGTAATAAAGCTTTACATGGAAATCCCTATAATTTCAATTTTGATCTCATTACGTTCATTAAAATGCAGCATTTTCCACAGATGTCAATGTTATCTATCATTTGTAGGTTTTACTCCTAGGTTTCTGAAGAAAAACAGGCTCTCACAGGGAACACAGAGATAGAGAGCACTGGCAGCAATATTGAGGGAGCCAGTTCAGCTCACATGACCAGCAAGACAAAGCCAACAGCACTTAGAGGAAGGCCAGACTTGCGGTTATGACTGATTTCAGTTCAGTTCTTGGCTCTGCCACAAACTTCCTGTATAACTTCCAGCAAAGCGTAGTAGCTCTGTGCCTCAGTTCTCATGTATAAAGTAGAAATACTACACTTCCTTTCTTCCACCCTTTGACTATCACATAAAATCCTCAGTGCAGATTGCCTGTGTGTTTGTATGCACCGGGCTCTAATCTTGGGTGGAGCTTTATCACATAAAAATAAGCAGAAGCTGGAGCCTGCACATACTGACAAGTTCTCCCATTGCCCTGCTCTTTTCAAAACATAAGATCTTGCATCGTGTAGGACTGAAGTCACTGCCCGAGAAACTGCCTCGCTTTGCCAAGTACAGGAGCGCTAAAAGCAGTTTTTCCTTTGCAAGGAAAACAAAGGGAATGATTGTTGGTTTGTGTGAGGAAGAACAGAAACTTGGAGAGCTGAAGTGTTTTGCCCAAATGAGAGAGCACAGATTTGGGAACAGAAGTTGGTTCTCCTGCAGTCTAGCCAAACACTCTGTAGCAGATCCCCATGCCAATAAGATGATGACCAAATACAACATCTATAATTTTAAGGGGCTTGCAGGTAGAAAAGTATTTCAACCAAGAAGAGGGTTCCAAATGTAACATGGATCTTTCTGGATAGTTAAGTGGTGAGAAGATTATGTTCTACTCAACACTTCTCCCTTAGCCCGCACCCTGCCACATAGAATAACATACACTGATTATTGGCAATTCCAACTGCTTAAACTGCATATATATCAGTTCACTGTGATCACCCTAGTAATCTCTGATTTGCTTCTTTTTATTGAGTTCAGAGTTCAATCTAATGCATCTTCTTGATAAAATTTTCTTATGCTACAGCATCAACAAAGCATTCTGCTTCATAAAACTGTATCCCACCTTAGCTTGAGGCTTCTTTTCCTTTTTTTTTTTTTTAGCTTGGGAATGGTAAACAGTGTTTAAAGATTTCAGAACAGAGAATTTATATGCAATCTCTTTAAACCCTGAAGCTGTTGCTATTTCTGTATTACGGTATTAAGCAAAATTAGAAGGCAGTATTTCATCTCTAATTGGCGAGTTCAAAAGGCTCCCATCTATAAGGCTCTCTAATTAAATAAGGTGACTTCTAGCTCACTCAGTTTTGTGAAAGGATTCTCCCTCCCCCAAGAGCCAATTCCTGTTCATGCAAATTATGGCAGTGTATCCCACAGAGGGCCTAACAACATGGTCAGATATTCACACCCAGAGTTCCAGAAGTGAGAACAAATGCAGCCCAGGTACTATTTTCAGGATGTCTTTTTCTACAATTGTCTTTAGTAAATTCAGCTTATAACCTCTTAGTTTTTCACCTTTTCTTCCTTAATCTCACAATGTTGGTGTTTTATTTTTCCAGTTTGTTTATCCCAACCAATGTAGACAGCGTATGATTTATCTGGGTTCAGATTAATCTAGACTGCTCTGAAGGACAGACTGGGGAAGAGTCTTTGTCTTTCATTCTCTCTACCTTCTATTTCTTTTTACGCTTATCTATCTTTTCTACTTGCCATGGAAAAATAAAGCAGCAAAATAAATTTTTTCCAGTTGCTGAAAGAAGATACTGGGGGAATTATTGCAAAATGACAAATGTTGGGTGTTCGCAACTGCTCCGAGTTCTCTTTTCAGTCATTAACATTTAATTTTACAGGCCGGATTTATTACAACATATTTTCCCCCTGTGAATAGGCTGGAATTACTTTTGATTTCAAGTAGTGTCATTGCAATGTATTAGAAAGGTTTCACTAACTTTGAGATTTTATCTATTGTTATTAAGAGGGAATCTTGTTATCTTATAGCTATATCCCTAAGCTTATATGAACTCTTGTCTTAGTTGCTACTGTCATACAAATTCACCGTGTACGTTTGTGTATTGCAGTCTTCCAACACACATGCAGCAGATAAAAGGTGCTGTTTGCAAGTAAAAAGTACTAAGATTCAGTATATCAGATAACAGATTCTCAAAATATCAGTATTCTATGAGCTGACCTTAACTGTTTAAAAAGGAATAACTAACTCAGTAACAAAGCCTCTATCACCTTATTTCTCTCAGCCCTCAGACTCTCTTAGAGTAGGAGAGAAAGAATGGGCCTATTGTTATCCTGAGAGAATGGCAGAAGAGTTTTCTCTTAACAGCCATAGGAATAAGCCAATTCCTTGCTTCTGGGAAATTTGGAATTCTCTCCATCAGCTCTTCATTTATGGACAAGAAGACATGTTACCAAAGATTCATTTAGTAAAATGGAAGCTGCATATAGTCTCAAATGCTTTGGTCTTACATATGGATATTTTCCCTCCAGAAAAGAAGACATGTTACCAAAGATTCATTTAGTAAAATGGAACCTGCATATAGTCTCAAATGCTTTGGTCTTACATACTAGCTTGTTTTAGTATTGAAGGTGCTTAGGATTCAGTAAAAAGTTCATTGAGATCAGTGGGAATCTTTACCAATTTCTAAAAGAGCAGATCAGGCCTCTACGCTTGAGCAATTTTACACACATGGGTAGTTCTATTTGGACTTGGATATAAAAGGAAAGATCTGCTTTTTTACTTTTAGGTATCATGTTACTTTGTAGTATAAAACTGGCATTTGAGTTGCTTGGAAAGCAACTATTGAAAGCACTATTCTAGTCTGGGAAAGCCCACAAGAAAGGAATACACAAGTATTTTCTGCCATCTAGTGGACCTTGTTCAGAAAAGAAGTCTATGCTCCTTTTAAAAATGGGGTTTGAAATTAATGGGACAGAGAAGGGAAAAGATTTCAGGGTTTACAGCTTTCCCTATAGAAAATTCCCATCGGAGTTAGGTTAGTCAAAGTAGTGCTCTTCCATCGCTTTAAAGTGTAGACTTAGGATTAATCCCTTCTGAGCCACACACTCAACAATGCAGTTTCATTTCAAGACTGGTTTCAGTGTAAATGAGATTTAGCCCCATTAATTTTTTCAATCTAAAACAGATTAGTCTTGAAAACCATTTTAGTGGTGGATTCAGGTTTCTGGATATTGCATATATGAGGCTGTTGTGGGCCAGCAACTTCCAGATTAAAATACCCACGATTTTAAGGGAAGCAAGTCATGTCATTCCTCATTGACACCGAGGGCTAGCATAAAGACACTCTTCTAAATTCTACATTGCAAATCCTTATAGTGATCTCCACTATTTCAGCCTTTTCACACAGTGAATTTACAAAAATAGCAGTCTAAGAAATTATTTGCTAAAATGAGAGTGGAGTTATTGCAAAAGCCCGAGGTTACTCTTGCACTGGAAGAAAAATTTGGATTTTGTGATCTCATATTTCATCATTTGAGAACAGCTGCTCCTCTCAGATTGAGGTTGCATTTTACACTGAAGGATGGAATTTATATGCATTGACAAAGTTGGGTGAGAAAGTTTTTTAATTGTCTTGATGATTTTTCAAAGTACTATTGGTCTTTCCAATCTGTCATAGGGACTGCTATTTCCTCCATTTCTTCCCAACTGACAATTTCCCGTTTGCTCAGGACTGGAACTGTAACTGTCTCTAGGGCTCATATTCCAAAACCAGTATGAAGTGCTACTACATTAAATACATAAAACTTTAAAAAGGTACCAAAACAAACCCCACACTTTGGGGTTCAATTATGAAGGAATGTTAGAATCCTTTATTGGACATTATTCAAACTCCTGAACAATACAGAGAGACTGTTTTTTTCCCCTGCCAACTTTAACACTATTTGAATTTTGTCTTTGTCATTTATCAGATTAGATGATATTCTGAATTTTCTCCTCTCCTCTAGAGTACATTATCTCCTTGCAGTGCCTGCAAAATAAGAATTTTCCGCACGCAGGCAGACAATATATGCAGCTGAAGTAGGTTTGTTCTATACGTGTGACACAGAACATAGTTTCTATACTGTGTATTTTAAGCCTTTATTGGAAGGCAATGGGGCTCAAAACCAGCAATATAACGAATTGCAAAGAAGATGCCCATCACAGAAGAAAACAAAAGCATTGCCTCTTAGTCTATGTCTAATTCAACAGCCAGCTTTTTCTTTAACAGATACAGCTACTAATTGGATATAGCTACAGATTTATTTCTGTGGCAGGTTTGTATATTGAGAACTGGAGTTTATACTTCCTCCAAACGAGCATAGGGCTTAGTATTAATCAGTGTATTTAGGAGATATTTTGACTTGCCACAGTTTGCTCTGCTCTGCATTATGGAAATAAATACTCTGTTTTCATCTTTCCTTCTTTTGCTAGACAAAACTAATAACATTTGCCTTCAGTGAGAACATGGTATCTGCTGACACATTTAACCAAAAACAAATGAGGAGAAGCTGAAACCTTTATTTCCTTTGAGACCCTCAGATAATTCATGATAATTCTGAACTGGCTTTTTCCACCTTTATAGGTCAAATATAAAGATCAATCAATTGATCTGTCTGTCTGCTTTATGTCTAAGTAAAATTTCAGCATTCGTTTCATTTCAGTAGATCCAGAGATAGAGCATTACAAAAGACAGAGTTTAAGATTGTTAGAATTCTTGGCCTTTTCATATTTACTTGACTGTCAAGATATAAATCAACTTTTTAATTCTCTTGCTAAGATCAGAACAAGCTTAATTTGAAACAGAACTGCATTTAGACTTATATTGCTGCCTCATTTAATTTGTTCATTTTGAAGGTTCACATTTTGGTCATCAATGGTTTTAGAAGTTCACTCCATTTGTAACAGATTAATACAAAGGGAATTTAAGCAACATCAAGGAGCATATTTTCCACATGAATGAATAATCAAATATATTCCTTCAGTAATTGGATCTGTGGGAAATGGAAGCATAGCATTATGAAGTACTTTAATAGGTCATTCTTTATTTCAAATATAAGCCTGAGTTTCAGCAGTTTAATATATGGCCTTACCTATTTTGCAAATACATCCTACTCAACAACCTTCACTTTCTTTAGCTCCTTCCCGAGTTGTGCATTCTTAAGCTATTTTATCAACTCTGAAATGCCACTGGGCTCCCAATTGGGTGCACTGGGCTATTTCCAAATGTATTTCTTTTAAAAAATCAGGCTACACATTTTTTATTAGACTTTCCCTTGCTTTTGCTCTTATTTCCTCCATTTGTTCCACATTTTCACTCTGAAGCAGAATACAAATACAACATAACCTTTGATTTTCAGATAATCTGAAGTAAAACTAGGAACTAGCAGCATTTGATTCCATATATATAAATATTCACTGACATGTGTATGTCCTACTGCAAAATTGTGCATTCTTTGCATTTTTTTTTTCTAAAAGAAATGCACGAGCATTTCCGCTGTGAATCCTTTCAGTACTTTGAAGTCATCTTACCTGGCTGGTAGACAGAGGGCTTTATGCTGGCAGTAGTAACAACTCTTGGTTTTGAAGGAGCAGAAGGAGCAGGGCTTTCACCGTAGCTTCCAGAAACTGGCATTGGTGTATATGGCTGGTTTGTGTTTCTAAAAGCAAAATGACGGTATGAGAAACTTTATAAACAGCAGAAGTTACTGATTATGAAATAATAGATCTGGCAGGTTCCAAAGCACTCCAGGAGGAACTGTCCTTGAGAGCTACAGAGAGAATGGTGTGAGATTCATTAGTCTTTATCATTGCTAAGAAAGGCTTGGACAATTCCTTAGAAGGAAAAATAAGCTGAATAAGGATTTTAAATAATGCCAAGTTGCTCTTGTCACATAAAATAGCTTACTGAGGGAATATGACCAATTTATTAAAGGAACTCTCAGTTTAGCAAGGGATCAGACTTCAGGAATGTGAACAGAAACTTTGAGTTTTCTGTCCCTCTACAAACAAACTGGCTTGTTCTTGTCGAAGATAAGTCAATGAGGGATATCTTGTTGACTCAAAAAGATACTGGCTCAGCACAATTACTACTACTACTACAAATGCTAACTACTGTTTATAAGCATTGTAATCTTTTCAAAAAGATTGTAGTGACCTTTAAAAAACATTTCTGAAACTAACTATTTTTTCCTATTTAGACTGAAACCACAATTTAAAATAATTTTTCTAATGTTCAGATTCAACTAACCCAAAAGCATCTGATATGCAATATTATGATGCAATTTCTGCATTCCTAGATTAAAAACATCTGCTCAGGATTCCAAACATCAATAAGAAATTGTTCTTCTCTATTTTATACTGCGTATGGTGATTCTCAGTTTGATTATAATAACACGTTGAAATAAATGCCTCTTCTATTTGCCTATTACTTAGGATGATTCTATTTGTAGAGGCTTTGCTTCACAGATCACTAAAAGAGCATTACAAACAAAGCAACGGAGAATAAAGAAGTCCAAGCAACAGAAGCAACAGATAACAGAGATGCTGCAGTAATAAAAAACATTTACTATTGAACATCATTCTTACTCACCCTGAAAACAGTTTTAATTTCTTTTCCCCTTCAGTTTCATTATCTGTATGAACCAGATCCCTATCCAAGTTTAGGAGTTATTTCCATTTTGACTTTGTCTATAGGAAAATCTGTCTATTTGTCAGCATAAGAAAAAAAGTGCCCAGCTTTGCCAGACCATCAGTCCATCTTGAGTTGTACTTTTAACAGTGGAAATAGATGCCATCTGGAGAGAACACGTTACCATTCTTATGTAGGACAAACCCAGCACATTTCTTCCAGTACAGGTAAAAACATTCTGACAAATGTAAACTTTTGATTTTTAATTTTGAACAAAATAAACCTATCCTTACAATGTAGCATTTTGCTACTCTGACATTGCTTATATTATAGATCTAGTTTGCACAGCATTGCTGCCTCAGGCTAATTTATTTTGTCTATTTAGTTTGACCTAGAAACATAACTATTGCTACAATGACTATAGCTCATTATTTCTGTACCTAGTGTAGGGCTTAGGGCTCGCTGTGGGTTGGCTGCACCATGACAGAACAGGACTCCCCAAGATAACCTCTTTTAGTGGGTTTGTACTCACTGTAAATGCTGTGGTGAACTGTGCTGTGATATTCTACCCACCAAAGCTGATCTAAGCACAGTAAGACTTTTTACTTTCTTATCATCTATTTCCTATTGGAAAGGTTGGATATCTATTGATACACACACTGTACTCGGGGTCACTGGACAGAGGACCATTGCTCCTACAGTAGCAGAGACAGGAAGAGGAAAGCTTCAGGTACACTGGCTTCACTCACAGCTTTCAAAAGGCCTTAAACTAAATACACACTGTCAAAAAAAGTTTTCTTTGTTTCAAAATCTACTATTCAAGGTAAACTAGACAGAAAACCAGTAAAACAAACTTACCTTTTACAGGATCAGTGATCAATATTTACAATGTGGATTAAAAGTTTTTAAATCATGTGTCATACAGCCTTAATCTGAAAATGGCATACACTCAGGAAAGTCTACTCCCAGATGTGCAGGTCCATTGGTAGAAAGATTCATTTGAAGCTCTCTTAATGCACAAAATACATAAAGAAGTTCTGAGCCAGATTAGCCATACTTTGACTGTCATGAAGAAAAATGGTTATTCAAAATTCAAGTGATTCCCAAGGTTACTAGCATGATAAAACCATGCCACTAGATTTCTTTGTATGTTCAGGGAAATGAAGTTGAAAAAAACAAAAACAACACACACAAGAATTGTATTTATAGTACCAAAATCATGGCAAAATTAAAAAAGTCAACTACTGAATTCTTACAAGTGTGTGATGCATATTAAATACAGTAAGAAAGATAAAAAGGCTTGTTCAAAGAGATAAAAAGTGTTACGTTACATCATTAAGTGTTTTAGTGAAGTTAAAAGATTTATCAGAATTTCTGCTGAAGAGAAGGAAATAGCGTGTGATTAAAAGAAAGAAAAAAAAGAAAAAGAAAGAAAGGATAAAAAGATATACTAAGAATCAAAGATGCTTTAATGGAACAGGAAGCAATGGCATCTTGAAAAGCAGTGAAAGCACCCTTACTGAATTTATCTGTAGCAGTCAATGGCATGTGACAGGCAGCGAATTAAACACTGGCTCTGAAAACTATTAGTCGTCAGAAAAAGAAAGAGTAAATATTTCTAAGCGGTTCATTTTTATGTTAATACTTCACTAGATGCCTCCCAGCAGCAATAAACTGGTTTGTTAAGTGCTTTTAAGGTAGAGTAGCCGCACAAAACATTTTTATACCTCTTATTTGACTGGTAGCTGATGGAGGTGGAAGAATGCCGGTTGAAACTAAAATGAGACAAAAGTTGTATTTGAAAAAAAATTACCAAGAAAATCGGGATATCTTGTCCTATAGTGAATTTCCTTATGAATAAAAGGTGCTCTTAAGTGCTAAAGTAAACAACATGTACATACTTATAATCACATAAGATCAGTATTACATTGCATTTCCCTTATCTTATTTAAGCTAGCAATCATAGTTAAACCTGAATAATGGTACCATAAATAAATAAACTGAGTATATTGCTCTGTAAGTCAATTTTATCCAGTTCTGCTTGTTCTTTAGTTGTGGAATTCAATTCAACCACTGGACTGCTTGCTTTGACATTCACCATTTATTTGTATTAGCACAGAAAAATAAGTATGAGTTTCTCTTTGTCAGTGTCACAAGCTTAAGTTGCATCTTGAAAGCAAACTTCAACTGAACCAAAGTCCAAAGATCAGCTAAGGTTCCTAGGTCAACCCCACAGGAAGGACAGGCTGGAAGCAGCTGAAGTAACAACATTAAGCCATCACATTCAACTTTTCTCTTGCAGTACCGTTCCTCTGTTCATTTACTAAACAGAGTTTTAGGTAAACAGGTAGATATTTTTTTTCTTAGGAAACAGCATCATTTCAGAACATAAATGATTCAGTTATCCAAATACAGAAAGTACTCAAAAGCCTGCACGATGTATGATCTGAGAAACAAGAGGATTCAGAATGAACCCAGCTCCCATCTAAATGCCAAGCATCGCACAGGAGCACAGCACACGTTTGCCAGGACTAGCAGAAGCCTATCACGTGCTAGTTATTTTCCTAGCTTCTGGAGAGGAGTTTTTCTTTATTCCCTTTACCACAGACACAATGCTTGGATTAAAATCCTAGGATCACAGAAGCTGTACTGTCCTTTCAGAACCATAATCACAACTCTTTCTGTCGTTTCTCCTCTTTGTGTATTCCCAGTGCCATCTCACTGGTTGCCCAGCTTTTACCTTCCAGATGGAATAACCAATTGCATAAAGAGCTTGATAGTTTATTTAAAACACTCCTGCTCTGCTTTCTTCTTTGCAAGCAAGATTATAAGTGGAAAAGTAAGATAACATTGCAGATTTAAAAGTAAGAGTAGCACAATCAGTTAAGGATTAATGACTTCAAACATTCCTCTTTAGCAACATTATAAAGATTTTACTCATGTTAGGTCTTATGCATATGGCCTTGCTCACAAAGGCAAAATCACTACAGAACTGGATCTACCAAAGTTTAAAATCAGATTTAAATAGTTAATGACATTGATCAAGAAATTCTCGTGCTTTTTCTTGGTTGACCTTTTTAAGGCATCTAGAAGGAAGAAAAACAACCAACAAATACTGGAACCATGGTCATAAAATCTCAGCCTCATTCTACCTGAGCATGTTTTACACGATGGGGAGACTGTTGTAACTAAGGTCATCCATACTTTATTTTTAACTAAAATCATATGAAATGCTGCAATGTGCCAATGGTCCATGTCAAGCTGAAACTGGATTTGTAAGTCTGTATTTTCTCATGCTAATGCATTGCTTGGTTTCTAAATGAAAACTATCAGATGCTCAAAAATTTGAATTATAAATTGATTTAGAAGCCAGTTTTAGTCCCTTATGTTAGAATATAGTACATTACAGTTTTTAAAATAAACATGGTAGTAGTGCACAAAGATAAAGAACCTATTTCAGCAGCAACACAGCCCTCCAAAAACAGTTTGCTTCTTGTACCCATAATTAAATTGAAACAAATGTACTTCCACCCAAATAAATAGAACTACATGAGCAGTTAATCTTATTTCTTATGTTTTATCAGCTCCATGCGGGAATTGCATCCCCTATGTAATTCCCATGGCTGTAAACAGCCATACTTACAGCCTAAAATTCAGAACTCTTCTGGTCTTCTGTTCTGTAGCTATTTAATTTTTGCATTGGTTTCAGTGATGTGAAGCCAACCAAAATGCTTTCAAATACATACCTATGCCTAGCACTTAACTGCTGTTTTCTGTGGTATTCTTGAGAAAGATCATTATACTTCTTGATGTGTAGTCTTCAAACTTGTACACTCGTTCATTTCAAACATCACCTTTGGGTGATTCCTAACTACCTTTTTGTATCAAGAGAAGAGAGACACGGATAATTGCAATCTCAAATGTACTGCTGATTCAGTTTTTCCTTATTTCTGAAGATTGTGTTCAGATAATGAATCTTAGAATCTACTGCTTTCTTCTCTGTTAGTTTTGACAAAGTGTTAATGAAAGCAATGAAAATGCTTAGCAGCGAGGCAGCACAGCGGCATTTTCCCTTTCTAGTGATGGATGCCACCTTTCCCTGTCAGTGGCCTTTTATTGGTCATGATTAAGAGCATAATAAAAGAAGGTCTGTGACCCTGTGTTTTCACCAAGAAAAAAAAATAAATCTGTCATTCTCACCCAGTGTCACCAGACAAATATTTTCATTTTAAGATGGCAAAACCAGCACAAACCAACTGAAATTCCTTTGTTCTGAAAGGATCTTTTGGCGACATATCCTAAATCTAAAACTTAGGTGTTTCCTAGCTCAATTTTAGTGTCAAAGATAAGCAAGAAAGCTATTCCTTTAAACACATCATGCTTTTCAATAGTCTCTGCCAAGCCAATCTCTTAAGAAGCTGAAAACCTTAAATGAGAGAGAGTAATACAGAATAAAACCAAATTAAGTTAAAAGAAAAAGAAGAGAGCTTTACAGATATACCTAGACTGAGATGAGATAGCAGATGAAATAGTGGAAGCTGCTAAGGACATGTTCTTGGACCCATGGAAAGGCTTAGGCTGTGAAAGAGAGCTGGGGGCTGCATGGACTCTGCAGAAGACACATGAAAGCATGGACAAAATAATTTAACAGGGACAAAAATAGTGACATCAGAATCAAGTTTGTCAGAGTTCAGATACAGGAGGACTCCTGCAGAGTTACCAGGAACAGGTTTTCTGTAGCTTACATCTGCAGACTTACAGAATAGCACAACCAAGCACATTCCTACAGAACACAAGACAAAATGCACACGTTATGTAGAAATCTTAACATCAGAGTCTACCAATAACTAAGAAAGACAGTATGTCAGGACAAGACTTTTGTCAATGATACGTGTTTTTATCGGCAAGATCTGAAGATGTTTGAGTCTGAATTCAAGCTAAACTTTTTAATATGCAAGCAGTACCAGACAAAAGATTTTCCTATTTAAAACCCAAGCCATTGGCATGATTAGTTTAGTAGAGGCATTTATTTTTTAAGCACATATTAGATAATCCATTTTCTTCATGTTACACTTTAAACTGAGGGATAAAAATTACTTAAATCATGTCATTATTTCATGTGGAAGCATCTTACAGCACAGTTCTCAATTACAGAATAATGCCTTATTCAAACCTCATTTGCTGGCTGGATGATTGATTTTCTTGCACTGGAATAAAAACACTGGAGTCCAGTAGGTCATGGTTAGGTAAAAACTGACTAAAGTGAGAACCTAAGTAGTTGGTATATGTAAATAACTTAAGTCAACTAGCAAAAATTAAACAAGAAATAGAGCCAAGAGAACATTTCCAATTCCATATACAAATCTAAGATATGTCAGAATACATCTTAAGTCTCAATTATTTAAAGTAGTTTACATTACTCTAGGTGTGGTTTTCCTTGGATTTTTAAAGCATGCTAAATTATACATCTTTTTGAAACATTTGTGTGGCAAAAAACAAGGAGGAAAGAAAATATGCACCAAAGGAATTCACTCTTTACTATCTCCAAAATCACTGTAATGTAACTGACAGCAGTATAAATCCTACACGTTTCTTCACAGACTGACAACTTTTAATATAAAACTGTATCTCCTGCAAGTGTTATGAATGCATACCTCCTCGAAACTCACTTTAGATCTATAGCTAAATCTCATTAGAGAAAAGGGACTAGATAGATCTAACAGAAATTAATTGACTTAATACCTTACAGAGCAAGTCAATCATCAAATGTGCGGTTTTACTGACATATTGCTCATTGTCCACCAGGTTTTACTGACGTCTGCTGTGATATAGTAAGCTCAATCATGTGAGTGAATGGCATTTTATAATTTTCTATTTCATGTCATACTGCAGAAACACTATTAAAAGACCCTTCGTTCAACCACCGTAACTATTATAAGGACTTGGTTTTTTATTTTATTACAAGTGGTTAAAAAACATTTCTAGTTTTAACCCTAGAATTATTTTCTGAAAACGTAAGCTGTGCTACAGACTTAAAGCTACATTTTTAGGGGAGTTTTATTTTGCAAATTCTTTGCAAACATGAACAACTTACTTCAAAATAAGAAACCACACCAAAGTATATTAAAGCATATAAAATAGGTTACAGCTTTTACATACTACATTCTTAAGTTAAGAATGTGTATGCAGCATTTCCAGAGCCGTACAGCGCTGTATCTGCGAAAGGACAAAGCGATGAAGCATTACCTTTGGAAGGAGGATGAGAAAGACTCTTGCACTACTGAGGTGGCTGCTGGTGGTGTCATCAGACTGGCTGTGTTTTGAGCAGCAGTAGCAGGCTGATGTGCTGAAGCATGTGGTGCAGGAGCAGAGGCAGCACTGGTAGACACCGGAGCATGCTCAACAGGGATACTAATTAGAGTTAAATTAAATAAAACAAGAAGCATCTTAAGAAGGTGCATATTTAAGTGTAGAGCATAAAACCTACTATGTTTGAACCTGAAATCGCAAACATAGTAGCAGGTTGTGTTACTGAGGGGAAAGCACAATTACGCAAAGAAAAATAAGACATTTGTTAGGCCTTTTTTGATGTGGAGTTAAGACTTTAATGCAGTTTTGGTCCCACTTGACTGAAATTTATCCTTCTCACTTAAGTCCTGCTTCCACTAAAGCCCCTGGTAGGAAACGTGGCAAGCAGTACTTAAATGGTTGCAAAGAGTCTGTCACAAACTCTTTGAGATCGGATAAATTTCGCCCAATATTGACTCCTGGAGCTGAAGTTTATGTTGCGAGCAAACTTTTTAATTTGATGAAGAAAAATAATTTACAGGATATTATCATAGTCTTGCGTCAGCAGGTTTCCTGCACGTTCTGATAATCTAGAAATCCAGTCAGCACAGTTTTGTGTCAGGTTTAATCAGTTTTTTTGCAATACTGGCAGTGGAAAGATGTTTAAAAGCAGTCCATTCATCTCTGACCTAAATTCACCTTACATTACACTGGCCAATCCATCAAACAATAAGATGCCTTTTTACACATAGACCACTATACAAAATACAAGGGGAAGATGTAACATGAAGTTTTACTACACCAGTTTTAAAACCACTTGGGTGATGAGCATGCTCTTGTGGCCCTCTTGTGCTATTGTGGCACAAATAACATGGAGCAGAGAGATATTAACATTTAATTCATTTTCTCTTAATTTGATTGCACAATTAATTAACCAGTCATTTAGGAGGTGTAGTTTGTTGTCTTCCATCAAATGGACTTGCCAGATTCAAGTTCTTTGCTGACTGTTTCAACGAACTTAATATCAACAAAATAATAATATCTACATTCGTTATTCACTTGTCAATAAACTTAATTTTAAATGACCTAGTGATTTTTAAGGGGGGTGGGGGGGAGAACAGGAAAAATAAGAAAAGACAAAAGCTTAATTTTGTGTTTAGGCAGATTTTACTGTGGATTTTATTAATTATTATCCACAGAACATATTAGCCACTGAGAAATTACTAAATATAATTTGATTTTTCAGATTATTGTACTGTTTTGGGGCACAAACTCCAGTGACAATATAAGCATATGTTCCCCAGGCATAAGGGACTTTTTTTTTGATGCCATATTATTGTGCTGTAGATTAATTTTCTTTTGTAGTTATCCTAATACTTTTTTTTTTTTTTTTTTAAATCAGAGCATTACTGTACCTGACAGAGTTGTGTTGTTCATGAGCAATGGTACAAGAACATAATGGATATATTTTCACTTCTTTTCACCTAACTCACAAGTACATTGCCACATCTCTGGGTTCTTACAAATGACTCCTATAAGGGTGATGCATTTTGTCGATTCTCTTGTGCAATATACAAAGAATGCCCAAAATATTCTTTCCTGAGCACAGGAAGTCTCAAATAACAAAAGAATGCTTACAGTTCCGTGACTGTTTTTCAGTCAAATCTTAGTTCTCAAACATTCTTTCTCTCAGCTTTTTTTCCTATGCAAATTTTCCATTATGCAAATGTTTTCTCTGTCTTTCAGACGTTCTCTCTAGTATTTTCTTTCACTCCTCTCAGAACCATTATTCAAGTTACACTCCTTAGGACCTAGGAGGAGGACTTGGTACTTCAGAATTCATGATAGCCATTATTCTTCAAGGGGCTGTCCCATTTCCCCTGTCCTCCTCCTCCTCTTCTCTGCTTTCTTGTATGGTTTAATAGTCTAAATGATGGTGTCTTATTTCAGCTGAATATTTTGCTGTTTGATTAGCTGAAATGGAAGTGTCATTGTTATGCCCAGCAATTTCAAAGTTGAATGTAACCCATGATAAACGCAGAAAATAAGTATTTTCTCCCTTACGAGTTTCATCTGCAATCTTATACATAACAAGCGAGCTCCTGAAAATACTTATCCTGTTTGCGATTCTGGTTTTCAAATCATTACACCAAAAGTTTTGCCAAAGTTTGTCCATCATATTATACATTTGATGTTCAGATCGGTTCTTCCATCTTAATTCATTTGCATTATGATGTAAATTCTTCCACTTCACTAATAGAGTATCAATTACACAGACTTTGTAGCAGAGTAGCTGTATATTATAGGTCACAGCTATGGGTCATGAGCTACTCTCTTACTCAGTCTTAATGCTCGCAGGATTTTTTTTTTCCGCTCTGTGCAACAGTGGGTACTGGAATTGTAACATTAAAAGGTGCTGAGTCAAAATTTAGTATTACACATCTTTGATTTGGCAAACAGGAAAGGACTGGAAGTGTCCGCGCATGAAAATGGAACTTAATACACGTCCTAAAAACAAACACAAACTAGGATTTCACCTATTTTCTCTTTGTTTTCACTGATGTGAAAGGGAATTGGCTACAGATTCCAAAAGAATCAAGACTTCATACTTTAAATAAAAGAAAACAGTGAAGTTACTTAATCGTTATAACAATCTGCAAAACATTAACCAAAACACATACTTAGTGATATATATTTACAAGAAAGAAAGAAAGAAAGAAAGAAAAAAGATAAGAATACATGTGGACATGGACCTGTGTGGAGACAGATTTGAACTGGACAGACACATATAAAGAAAATAAATGCAAATATACTGGAATACCTTTTAAAATTTAAAAGAAATACAAACAAGTTTTATCTTGCATGCTGTTTGTAATAGTTATTTTTATGTGATTAAATGTTAGATGCTCGATCACCTTCCTGCAGAGCAGAGTACAGCAATTAACAGAACAAGTAATTGGAATAAACATAACTGAAATAGATAGAACCTTAAAAATCAGGGTGATCTGGTCACATAAGTTATAGGTAGTTGGTAACTAATTCTCCACTCAGTTTTATAGAAAGAACTCAGACTAACTTGGCTGTTTTTTCTTTAACGACTATAAATTTTAAATAATTTTAGTTAGATATTCAAATAAAATAACATAACTTTTTTTTTTCCTCAAGATTGCCTCCTTCCTACATTTTTCATTTTGTTTTTTTTTAGTTCTTCAGATGCAGAAGAAATTTAAGAACTGATAAATATGAATGCTGCTTTATGAAATAGATCATCTATTATAACAGCTTCATTATCACTTATGTTACAGAGGATTTTGGTCTTTTGTTTTATTTTTTTTTTAAATACAGTTATCCTGCACACTTTTCATCTTTACAGTATTTTGCATTTTTAGGAAAATCAAAGGAAATGGATGTTCTCAAACATCTCCATATTTGTGGTAACAAATAAACATAAAATGTACAATGTGAGTAAGTTACATGGATGATAAACACACGTATCTCTTCTCAGCTGATTTTCACTCATGAACACAGATCAGTAAAGGTTAAGAGGATAATAATGGTTAAGAATCATAATGAGAAAACACAGCAACAAACACACTCTAATGTTTAAAAAAAATGAGTGCAGATTATACTTCTTTCTCTCAATAAGGTCCTACGCTATGAGACTTTCTCTCCAGATAACAACCACTACAAGCGGATTATTAAAGCAGTACTTAGTCTCCCTTATGTAATGCATGAAGTTTCTTTTTGTTTCAAATCCTTCAGTAGATCTCTTGTAAAGAATTGAAAACATAAGGAACAAAAATAAAAATAAATAGGAAAAAATTATCTCTTATTGTAGCATTTGTAGAAAAAAATCCTGGAGAAGGTGAGAAAAGGGAGAAAGATATAACGTGGAAGAGTTTTGCAGTTGAACATGGGAATGTTTGTAGAAATACAGTGAATAATATCAGCTGCTGCTTCTCTGCAGAAGGTGCTTGATGACTGTTGTCTCTATATTGTAGACGAGATCCTTAAGATTGACACTTAAACCGTAAAACCCACATGAACTAGAAGTTGCTGGAATGTGTAGAACTTGGATATCCGCCTCCTAGGCAACTGGCATTTCTGTCTGAAGGAGTTAGAGGTTGTTATTACAAACCATTCCAAAGCTCCAAACCGGGTCAGTTATGCAGTTACACATCACCGTGTACCTTCGGTTACTGGATGAAGTAAGAGGGACTTTCTGGCCAGTAGTGATGAAACTGGCCTCCCTCTGACTTGTACCCGCTCCAAGCCTCACAGAGCCCTTGGAAGCCACTGGCTTAGCATTGTCAGTGTTGGCATCCGTGGCGAATGATTTAGGAGGATGCCAAATACTTGAGGTCACATACTGTGGCTCATGTGTAGTAGCTGTAGGCCTGGGTAACAAAGATTACAAGGGGATTTGTAAATGAGGTATTTATTATGTCACCAATTTCCTAGGTAAGAGCAGGTACTTGAGGGAGAGACAGAATCCCAGCCGCTGGAGGTTTAACAGAAAAATGTTTGTTCAATTTTTCAGTTTTCAGAGGTTCATGTGCTTACATACCAAATAAAGCAGCATTTTAGAATGCTGATATCTGGCCCTTTAAGTCAGCAGTTATTATTTGTATGAAGGAAAGCCTTCAAAAAAAACCAACAAAAAACCAAACCCCAAAGTGCTGAACCTCATAACTGAGAGATCAAGTTAAGTCTAGGTTTAGTAATGAAGGCTTTATCTTTCTGTTGTTTCTTTTTCCTGGAAGAAGATTTATATTTGTAAATATACAGTGTCTTCTTACTGTATCCCCAAATTCCATATGCCATAGGAGATCATCATGATATTGCAGCTGAAGTAATGAAAAATCTTGACAGTTTATTAATGCTTTAAGACCAGGGGAGGCTTTAAGAACTAAAAAAGGTACCTTCTGTTAAATCTGTAAACCATATTGCCAGGAATATCAAAATAAGACATATAGCAGAGCTGTGATGATAATGGAGGTGGAAAAAAGCTATGGTATGACAAACCATGCATGATTAAGGCAATGCAGTATGACACTAACACCAGTCATACATCAGAAATTGTTCCTGGTAAAATAAAATAAAAAATAAATTTAAAAAAGAGATATTTCAGTGTAGCAGCTGCATAGTCCTGTAGACGATTTTACACAAATGAAACTGCTAGTGAAATACTAACTCATGTTACTTGCTTTTTTCAATTTAATTTACACACAGTTATTATAAAGGAATTGGGGGGTTATTTCATTCTTTTGACATAATTAATTTAAAAATCAAAATCCATTTTCCCTACTGTTCCAAGTGCCAGCTGCCATTGCATTGTCACTAATAATGATAGTACTTGCACTTGGATTTTAACTCTGTGCAACCTTTGTTCAAATGTGAGCAGTCTCATAAAAAAAAAAAAAAAAAAAACCCAAAAATAAAAAGTGGTTACAGGAATCAACAAGAAAGAGGAAAGCAGTGAGACAGAATTATTTTCATGGCAAACTAATGAGAGGCATTTCTTTGCTTCATTAAACAATTGGTCAGATTTACTGAAGAAGTGCCTGTGTTGCAGTACTTGTGTGTTTTAGTATATGAATTAATAGAAAACAATTAATTTCTATATTTAACTGCAAAGTGTGCTGAGATTCTTTGGGACAAAACAATTTTTGAAATGAAGGAACTTACATAGTTACTAAGTTTTGAACCTCATAACCCATCGAGGATCAATCAAAACATGCAAGAATAATATTTAGATTTTTAAAACACCTTGAACAATTTGGACAAAGTTTAAAATGGAAATTGCTCTTAAAACTCCAACACAGAACTACAATATTCCATTTCAAGAACATTTGATAAAAGCTGCTTATTTTCAGGTTACTAAGTTCCAAGAAACATGATCCCTGCTTGCCCCATCTCACAGAGCTTTTTAAAGTCTGTATTAGAAAGAAAAGTCTAACAAACCCACTTTGTTGAAACCTCTACATTTATCATCTGCTCAAACCGTGTAGAAATTCTATGGTTTTGAGGTAAGAACAATATAAGGAAAGTGGAAGTAAACTCTGAGTAGGAGGGAAGCCAAACACAGAGAGCAAACATTACCTGTTTTCTGATGCTGCTGCAACATTTTCCTTGTCTCTGTGAAAGGAGGGGATACAGTATGAATAAAGTGGTTGCAATGGCCAGTGATAGCAAAAATAAAATTAAAAAAAAAACAGGGAGAAAGAAGATGCGTTGATGTGAAATGTTTGGTTGCAAAAAGCATCCTAGAGTGGTTGCTCATAAATACAGTTGTGAGAAACTTCTTCAGCTCTCCAAGAGAAACCCACCAAATATGCAATTTTACTGTATGCTGCTTCTCAATTGCAAATAACTTTTACTCAATATTAAAGTAAAAGGACGGAATATTAACAGTTATATACATACAATGTCTAATTTGTAATTTTAAAGTTTTGACTTTAATAAGTTCCCTCTTAAGAGAAAATTTCAAGAATACTCCAGCAGAACATGATGCCAACTCCAAGCAGTAAAAATAATCAGACTTGGGCAATCCACAAGGATCCAATACTTTGAAGTGATAAACAGTTAAATGGTTTAACAAAGACTCATCTAAGATAGATTATATGTCTGGTATCATTTAAAAACTCTCTGTCTTACCCAAGTAAGTACTAGCTTCCTCAGTCTAAATTGGATTAGAAACAAGTTAAATCATTGCTTCACTGAGGTGAGGAGTAAGGCAGCCTTAATTTCAGTGACAGAGAATCAGGCTGTTATTCTGTAAACACACATAAAAGCTTATAAAATAACTGATCAGTTGAAGTGCAAGCAATTGTGTATCTGTGTAAGAAATTACAAACAGATATTTTCATAAAGAATAGAATTCTTTAGCTTTAGACTCCTAAGTTTGAAATCCAATAAGTTAAGTAATTGAGATAATCTCAATATTTAGCAATTTGGTGGGTTGTTGCGTCCTTTCCTAATTAAGGAATTGTGCTGGAATTTCAACACATTTAAAGTTGAAATCTGCCAAATGAGAACATTTGTCTTAACTGGGATCTAAAATTGCAAGACACAAAGCAAATGTCCTCATTTACCCAACTGAACCTGCTTTCTGAGAAGTCCTTCAAAAAAAGGAATATATTATTTATTCACATGGATTTTCTGGGCTTCAGGCATTATCTCACATTATGTTTGGAAGGCTAATCTTAATATTTTCCACATTATTAGTAGTATCCCATATATTTCTCTCTGTGTTTATCTATGTATACATGCATATAGTACAGTCACATACTCTTTCCTTAGTTTAGCTCCAATAAAATTATAAAAACAATCCAGTTTACATCAGCAAAGGTTTGGGCATAGGTTTTCTCTACCAATTTTTAAAACCTCTAACTAAAACGTGACGCCTAAAACATATGAATTGAAGCCAGATTTTCAAACCCAGAAGTAGCTCTGAAACGACCCTCAGATGTGGCTGTTTGTCTAAGAGTGTTATAATGGTCAGAATGGGAGAACTTGTCTTGAAAGTCACTACCCGAAGAAGATCAATTGGTTCACCACTCTAAAGCAATGAGAAACCAAACACTATCTTTACGATAACCAAGCCGTGAGTTCACCAGAACGTCAGGTACAGGATGAAACAAGGTAGAGGAAGATGGGTTAGAAACTGTGCGTGTGGCCGGGGGAAGTGTTAGTAACCAACAGCCATAATCATGCCAGGGCATTAAAAAACAACAACCCACAGTCACAGCCTGAAAAGAATAAAGCATTGTTTATTTCCAGTGTTACCAAATTTTCTATGAGAAATGCCAGTCAAGACCAAAGGGCAGGCAGTTGGGGTCAGGCAGAAGCAGCGTTAGGCCTCTGGTCTTACTGTTAACCTGATCTAAACGTTTCTGCTCCACGAGCTGTGGCTTATACTGAGGGATGCAGAAAAATGTCACCTGACTTTGAGGTTGGGATTTCATGAAAGCTCTTTCCATGAGCGTACAAGTACAGGATAACTTTGAGGGACAATGGCAGGGGAGTTGTGAAGGTTAAAGAGAGAGAAGTATAATAAACATACTTCCACAGAATAAAACAAAGGAAAAGGCAGAAAGGAAAGGGAAAGATGAGCTCAAAGGCACACAATGCAAGAGCTATTTCTCCTCCTAGTCAACAGGAGTAATTCCTGTCTGGCTAACGGTGAGAAAGGCTCACGATCAGACGTGTCTCTTATTGGCAATACTTGCCTTTTGAGGCACCGGCTATTGGATTTCCAGCCTTTACAATCAAACACTTTTTGCTAACTAGAAGCAAAATTAATTTTACTTTTGAGTCAAATATATCCCTGGGGCAAGCTTAGTGAAGTCGATACATTCACAACATGAAAGAATTTGACTCAGAATTTTATGAGCAGTTTGTAACGCTGTGGCTACACAGGCAGTTCAAATAGCTCAAAACTACTACCCACAACTGTCAGTTTTCTGGGAGAGATTTGATATTAATGGGTTTTTTTGGTCTGCAGCCTTTTTAGTCCCCAGCTGAAATGGCTTTTGATAGAAGGGCCTTGGTCAATGGCTGTTCTGAGAGAACAGTGCAACTCCCACAGATTTTATTAAACATTGGACATATCTCAAACAAGGTTTATTTATGCAATATACTGCCCTCCCAATTATACAGTATATTATACAGTGGAAATTGTGAAGTGTTTCCTTCCCATAGAAATGTGCTACATGATGTGGGCATAAAGACAGGGTGATTGAAGTGATAGAAATAGTCTTTCCCTCCCACATACTAGAAAGAATTATAGTAGTTTGAGTAATGAAATGTAAAATTCATTTGCAAGCCAAGCTTGTGTGTGCTATTGGATCCTAAAAAGAGACTGAAGAAACTTCAGAGACTATCCAATAAATGATTCTGTTGAATACAAACTGTATGTACTAGACACTGTTTTATTTTTGGAAACAGAATGTAAAAGATTCCTAACCAAACATGTACATGTAACAGGCAACCTGAGATGTGGAGCCTGTGCACCTTCCATCTACCTTCTCCTTAGGGAGTAATAGATCTGGAGCCTCTGTCTTGAATAGCTCCTCTCTGTTCCATTAAAGCATTGTAGAGACAGAATCATTTAATCTGTAAAGATCTGATGACATAAGGAACACAAGGCATTCCAAGAGACCACGCCGTCCCTCAGCTTTTCTCTGTCTTTCAGTACCGAAGCAATAAGTGAATACTATAATTTTTTTCTCCACATTCTTATGGAGCAAGACTACTTTTCTCATTTGCAGCTGAGAATTTTTCCATTGCCAGATGAATATAAAACTATTGAAATTGTCATTTTTTTTCCCCACCAAGATATATTTTTGTTATCTTAACAAAGACACCATATGACACATAAAGAAATTATAGGCAGTTAACCGGAGAGGACAGAAGACAACTATCATGCTGGTTTAGTTAAAACTTTAGCTTGGGATCAGGAAAAAAGGGGTAGAAGAGCTAGTCTCTCTTTTTCAGCCACTGTAGTTAAGAATGTGAGCAGCCCACGCCAAAATGATTGCAATAAGGCCTACTAGTATGTCTGCTTCGCAAAACAGGGAAATACATTTCTCCCAGCAGGTATCCTGGTTTGTGCAGCCAGTGATGCAGAACAGGAAAAGCATTATCATATATTCAGTGAAAGAAAAAAACAACCAGCGACTCATTCTCAACAAGTAGTATGGAACTCAGTCAGCAGCTCGCTAAAAAGTCAAAGCAAATACCTCCTATGGATGCATTTTAGTGGCATCTACTGGAATGCTGTTATATTTATCAGTTAAATAATAAATGCAGCTGGAAATACAGCAGCATTGGTGTTCGTGAAAGTTAAGATAACTCTTTTCCAAGATATACATAGTGATATTTGGCATGCAAGTATATGTACTCAAATTTATCTTATTGCTAAACACATCACTTTAAAAAGAACAAAGACTGCAAAATTCTGAGTAATTTGAGCTGGAATATTTCAGATGATAATTCCCTATCTTGACCATAAGTGTGCAATTGGATTGATCTGAATGGCTTTTTATAGCTTTGCTGGTAAAGTGCAGGTATCTGCCACCAGGCACCTGAACACAGGAACAGGACTTTCAGTTTGTATTTGTGACCATTACAGACCAAACCAGTGCCCAGCAAGTTCAGGTATATTGTACACCGGGAAATTATTCCCCTTTCACTGAAGTGTTCTGTCTCATCATTTTCTTCACTTTTCTCCAGGGAAACTGCGAGAAGAACAAGAACCCACAGATCCCAATTTCAGCTGGTAGATTTTTAGTGCTACTTTTTAATTTGTGCACATTGATGATAAGAAAATTCATACTTTCTCTACATGTATTATCCTAAGCTTGAAGCTACATCTGAAATATACTATTGCATCTTCTCTATCTAGTTCCTGAACCAAATAAGGAAGCGCTAGGAATTACAGCCGTTGTCATTCTTTCAGAATGTGAATGACATTTTATTTCATAAATTCTCTTCCCCCTCTCTCTCATTTGTAATCATGTAACACTCTGGGTCAACTACAACAAACGCTTACGTGGAAATGAACCATTAGGAAGTTATTAGTATTTAGGGTAATTTTGCTGACATTAATGCAATTTAGAAGCAGAATAAAAGGAAGCAGTGCCAGTGCTATGCTATCAGCCAGTTCTCCAGCTCACCCGAAACGAAGCTCTGCGAGCCAGTGTGATGATCCACAGAGCACAGCTGGGTACCTCTGGGTTACACGCGCTTGTAAAGCCTGCTACATGCACAAACTGCTTTTTCCTTGTTGGACTGAAGGCAAAGCAAGGGAGCAGTGGGAGAGAAAGGCAGCTTGTGCCCCGGTATCCCAGTTAGCCATCTACAGCAGCGGAAGGATGCGTGTGAGAGGCTTAAAGGTTGCACAGTAGAAATGAAAGTGATGTTAATTTCTGCCCGTGCAAAAGTTAAGTGCTGGACAGGAACACGCAGAAAACTGAGATTGTAAAGATGAGATGTTAAATATAGGTCAGTATACACACCCCCACACAAAATTGAATCTTGAGCTTTAACAAGCTCTATTAGCTTATGCATTATTTCCTCTATGAGCTATTTTGAGAAAAGCTTCATGGTATTTGCCAATTTCATTTGGAAGTGCT